ACTTGAGTGCGCCGGGTTGCTGCCAGGCCAGCTGTGTAGGCGGCGACAGGTGTGGAACACACACGGCCTCCATCCACAACCTGTCGTATTTCATCAGCCCTGGTCCGCGGGCCCCGCTGCCTGCCCTGAGCTCCCAGCAGAGCCCAGCTCCACTCTGCGGCCCCACTGGCTTCTCATCCTCTCCTGGTCTCTGGGTCTCCCCCCACCAAAGCAAGCATCCCCAAACCTCTCCGAGCTGCACTCTGCCGGTCTCACTCCCAAACTCCTCCCACGCTCATCTGCCCAGGCCGGCCCTGATTACTCTCCCAAGGTCACTGAGGCTGACCGCCCCCACATCACACTCCCTCCTCGGCTGCTGCTCCCCGGTGGCCCCCCTCCTCCCCACTCCTGATGCTGGGGTGCCCCGGGGCCCCTTACCCAGTCCTGTGGGTGCCCATAGCTGTCTTGGCACTGCTGCTCTTCCCCCGGCACCACGGGGCAGCTCAGTGGCATCTTAGAGAAATGGCCGGCCCAGCGAGGTGTCTGCGGCTACCCTACGCCCCTGCAGCCGGTCGGGTGTTTGTGAACAGTCCCCGAAGCACTTGGGCGGGACCCTTCAGGGCTCCTGTGCTCTGCCCAACGGACAAAGCCAGTGACAGCTTTGGTCCACACCCCTCGGGCAGTAGAGTGGGCCATCTGCCTGCCCGCCAGGATGGGGCCACAGCTCCCGGCCAGCCCAGGAGGCCAATGTGTTCTGAGCTCTGGGCTGGCTGTTGCCACTTGTCACTGCTGGGGCAGCTCAGGGTTGTGCTGTGACAGTTCTTTGTCCTAGAGCCACAAGCTGGGTCCTCAGCCAGCATCCTGGCCTGGTACCTCGCTTGCAGGGTGGAGTAGCAGGGCAGCTCCATGTGGGTGAGAGCCACCCGGTCCGACAGACTCCAGCAGACGGGCAGTCTGCCCTCAGTTCTCCACACTGCGTTCCCCGCGCCGCAGGGAGCCAGGGGTGGGAGCTTGTCCTCACACCGAAACGAAGTTGTGTTTTAATCCCATCTTCCCATGAACATGTTGACGTCCAGTTGGTGTTAGCCCTGAGAAGTTTTATTGAGAGTCTGTAATGTGCTACTTCCCAGGTAAGAGGGCTATGGCCTCGCATCCTAGGAAATTCAAACTACCACCCATGCTTGGGGCCAGCAGGCGGTGTGGTGATGAAGGTGCGGGACTTCCACATGACTGACCATGGTTCAGATCCCCAGTCTGGTGACTTGCTTTGTCACTTTTCCTTTTCTCTCTGGTCAAATTAAAAAAGAAGAAGAAATAAATAATCCTTAAAAATGAAACTACGGTAAACTCATGCCTCTCCCTCCTGGCTAATCTCGGCGCACCGGTAGGACCCTGGAGCAGCCGCCTGCTGACAGCCCTAATTACTCAGCTTTTATAGCACACGGCATGTGGGACCAGCAGGTGGCCTAATGGCTGTGTCACTGGACTCCCACGTAGTCGACCGTGGTTTGAGTCCTAGACCCGGTGGCTTAAACTCACGC